GGACATTGTCCAGAGGTACACAAGGCGGGCATCCCCAGCTGATTCCTTGAAGACTGTTGATAGCTACCTGCCAGCTGGACCACAGGCAAATTGTTGTGCTATTTAGAGCAAGTTTAACTGACTAAAAGCGAGGGGCAACATGAGAAGCCGTTTCGGAGTGTGTGTCCTTTAGGAATCAGTAGAGTGCTGAGGCTTTCTGTTTCTGGCTTTTGTGAGGACACAGATAGTATATGTATCATATACCTACCAAAAATTAATACTTAAAGGCTATTATAGCTATTACCTATCACACATTAGTATTGCTTATAAGTAGTGGGATAGAAATGAATGCAAAGCTTTGATGGAAGAATGAATGTTCAGTTTCCTGAGCCCATTTCACCTCTGAGATCCATGACTTCTTCAATCAGAAGACAGACACTGCTTTAGGTTAGGAATTATCAGGAGCCACCCACAGGTACTGTAGCCTTGAGTACTACAGTGAGGAAAGCCTGGTTCCTGGATAAGCTGCTGCAGAGTGCTCACATTTGGCATGCTCTAGACCTGTCACAAAATATTTGGCACAGGAATCCCCTGGGCACCTGATAGCTTTTGGGGGCTTTTCTGATCAAAGTGTCTAAAATAACAAGAACTCTGTATTGCAGCCTGTCAGACTTGTTTTTGTAGCACGGCATAAGGATGTAACCCATCACATCCTGTGGAGCTTGGCGGGAGTGTGTATGGACATGTTTGAGGATTCAGGGTTTCCTTTGATACCATCCATGTGGAGGAAGCTTTTATGGCTAAATAAATTCACTAAGGCTTGGATAGTTGAGAGTCTGACACAGTGAAAAAGTATGCACTAGTATTCAGCTCTGTATTAAGTTCTGCCACTTCCCCAGTTAACAATTTATTATTCCTTTCCATATTAAAAACTGTCTTAGTGGGGCTTAGTATAGACTGTAAGGTTTGTTTTCTTTTCTGTCCTTAGCAAGGAAAAGAGATATTTATACCTGACATATTGGTTATTACATTGCTGCATTTTTTCAATTCAAGAAATTGATCTCCTAGAGGATAAATATTGTAATAGGTAATAAAACCTAAGAGCTCACTCAAAGTCCTTCTGTTAAAGGATCAGTCATCCCCGTGTGCAGTGATTTTCAGGAGGTTCTCTCCATCTGAGACATCAGTTACATACTGGGAAATGAGCAGTGGTGTGTGGTGATGAATTTGTTCTTTATGCACAAAAAAAAAAAAGTGCTAAAGCAACTGGCCTCCTATCCAATACAATCAAAAATTGTTATGCAACAGCATTCTAAGCCACCATAACACAAAACAAACTACAAGGAAAAGAAAGGTAACACTGCCGTCCTCCCTTTCAATCAACACTTCTCTCTGACAAGTATTTCTAAATGTCCCAGGAATGTAGCTCATGTGTTTCATTTGTTTCACAGACTGTAAGCTACTTTTCCCATTGCTTTGATCACCAGACATAGAAGCATCCAAATGCAACACAACAGCAATTCAAACAAGACTGAAGTTCCTATTACATTACAGGTATAACATTAGTATGGGAGAAAAAATAGATCCATGACTCCTGTAGAAGTCCAAAAAATGCCATAATTATTTCTACTATGCAGAAGAAAAGCTAGAGGAAAAAACGTGGTAAGATAAAGGGCTACACAATTAGCATAGCTGAGACTCAAATCCCTTTGATGGATAATTGCTTATCTTCAGGATGAGCTCTGGATGTCCAGGGGATTACACAGTATGAAGGTTGTCTATTATTTTGATTACTTTGCAGATGACTGTCTCAAAACCTTGTACAAATTGCATCTATAGAAAGGATGCTTACAGCAGAAGCTGGCTTTACAGCACAAACCTCACGATATGTCCTCTAAAAAAGTAAAGAGGGAAGAAGTAGGCTACAGACACAGTTTTCCCAAAAAGCTGAAGTACTCTGCTCCTCCATCTTCTAGCCCCAATCCTGGAAGAGAACACGCACAAAGTCTTACCTTATTATTACAATTCCAAAGATGCTCTCTGATCACTCCAGTAATGCAGAAAATAATCTCATCCAGGATTATGGACACAAACATTAAATAGTCACATTGTACCACACAGGCACACAGCTAACTAGTTACAGGAGAGAACATTGTTTACACAATAATGCCTAAGACCATTAACATTATTTTTCCTTCCACATTCTTAATCTGACTGTGAACCTTTCACTCCTAAATGTGAATTTCTTGCCTTTCTGTTTTCTATGAGCAGCGCCTCCAACCAGACCTGGAACTGCAAATACATAAAACTGTTTTTGTCAGAAAGCACTTACCCAAATGTCTCTGGATTTATCATAAGCTTGCCTGCTTAACCTCTCAGAGGTCAAGATGTTTTGTAATAACTAGATTTCACCACAAAGAGGAGGTCAGGTGGTATGGTGAGGACCTTGGGATAAAATTTGGAGGAAGCTTGTGTAATGCCCAAGGGACTGGGAGAAAGAGTAGAAAAAAGACCCTGAGCATTTCCAGGATGAATTCTAAATTTGGCAGCACAGTGACTCATGCAAGCCTATGTTCATAACAAAATGGCAGCTACCGGGAAGCACTGGACAATATCCAAACGCCTAAAGAAAGCTAAATTAAAATCACAGAATGGAAAGCTCTTGTGGTCATTATTCATAGGAAATAGCTCCCATTTCAGTCTGTCTGAACTGCTAAGTTAATTGATACTGTGCAGAAGGTGTACCTGCTGATACCTCAGGTGTTGCCCCCTGCTTACCCTGCATTGCACCATGCACTCCCACCCCTGGTCACTGGCAGTCGCACGCCACAGGAATACCACTAAAGCTTCCAAGGACTCCTCTTCTTTCTAATGTTTCTTTTTGTTCATGTATCCTTTTGTCTGCATTTAACAGATGTTGGGAAGCTCTTTTCCTTCTGATTGTGCCAATTGTGTTTTTCTTGCTAGGTACACTTACCCTATGCAGCAGAGCTGATGATCTGCGATTACAAACCATGCATGAAGGTGTGAAATTAATCTCCATTTGAAGTCAGTACCTACCCTTCTGGTGTGGCCCAGAGTTAATATTTGGCCATGATCTTAGCACACCTCACTGCTCTACCACAGATGTAAGGACCTACTCTCAATTCCTAGGGAGACTTTAGCTAAGAAAAGTTTTCCTGAAGTGTCCAAGGTAGTGCTGAGCCTACTGTGAAGGTATCTTTATCCTCACTGAGGCTGTCTCTGCCTCATTTACCAATGGATTTTTTTTGCTCAGTGTCCTGGGTCTAGTGCCAGGCTCAGGTGAGTAGATGGGATGCAGTGGGAGAGGTGGCAGAAAGACGGGATATCCAAGGCACTGCTTCCTGTGTGGTTTTTGTCTTTATCTACAGATTAAAAGACATTTATAAAGAGGCTTGGAAGTAGGGACCAGACCAACAGTTTTCATGCTTCCAGTCAAGGCCCTTCACTATACAATTAGAGAAACAAGCTCTCTTTAGCAGGATCTTTTCCAGATCCACAAGGTTTGTGTATCTCTGTGCAGTTTCAGTGGGGTGCTTTGTTTCAGAATAGCCTAAGCCTGGTGGCCAAAACACTCAGCTGGCTACAGAAGCTGAAGTTTCAGTCTCTTGAGCCACAGAGTACCTGGAACACACATCTCCCTCCTTTCTGGGCAAGTCACCAAGCCACTCTGTCACTGGGGACAAATAATACCAGTGTTTTCAGAGAAACCCATGGTTATTATTGTGCTTATGTCTAAAAATTGCTTTTATCTTCTGAATCTCACTTTTGCAGATGTGATATTTCCCACATCCATGGTCAGCAGGTTCCTTGGTGAAGATCTGGCCTGGGCAACCACAACCTCCCTCTGTCCCCTGCCTTTGTGACTACTTTGATGTTCACTTCAGCATCCCCAGGGCTTCACCTACACTTCACACATACCACTGCACTGACTTTTCAGCATGATGTTAAACTGGCAGCATCTCCAGCCATGTGCTGGAAATCCCAAACCGGCACCCTGCCAGAAAAATTTGGGGTCTTCAGTGGTCAGTGGAGCTAAAGAGAAGGGAGAGAAACTTAAATTGCTGTCACAGCTGTAATCTGCACTTCAGGTCTCAGACATCCCTTCTAACTTCAGGTGCTTATCTAAGGTGCCTAAATTAAAAGACTGGTCACTTCAGAGTCGCTTGACAGGCCCTGGAAAGAAAGCAGGAGAAAGAGAACAGGAGCTTGAAGGTGTCAGTCTCCTCCTACGAGCTGATAAGGGAGTCACTCTGTTTCCAATTCTAGGAACTACCACAGCCCCATTTAGGGAGGAGCATGACTCTGGCACTGGGAACCCCTCTGAGCCTGGCATCATTGCTCCCAAACTCCTGCAGCACTTCAGGCCTGCAGACCCTTACCACAGAAATAACTTCTCTTTCTTCCAGAGAGACCTTTCTTGGCATAACAGATGTCTCAATATAAACAAAGTTGATCAAATTCTATTCCAGTGAGTAAGGGTCTGCCCTTGCTGGAGGAGCATGGGCTCAGTGCTCTTCCTGCCAACCCATCGGTGCACAAACAGGCTTTCCTGCTACACCTTGTACTCTGCATAACCCCCACTGACGAGGACCGAAACTTCCATCACCCACAACATTCAGGTAATTATTCAGGGTTTTCACCAAGGCCCTACAGGGTGGCAGCCCACCACAATTTCATTTTTCATCCTTGCACATTTCCTTTCTGGGAAGCCTCCACCCACCATTACCTTCATCTTAGATAATTCCAAAAGAAACAAAGTTGTCTTTAAATATATATATATAGGACATTCAAGCTTCCACCACAGAAACCACCTGATGGCTCAATTTTCACTCTTTAAAAATCCTGCATTCCTTTTATGGTAAACACAAAGGCAAAAATTACTGATTGCTATATGCAGGGGTTGCAAAACCTGCAACTTTGCCTTGAATCGACTGGTTTCTGTCACTACTATTTTTCAAAGAAAACATGATGGAACAGAGTAAATAGTTTTAAACAAGGGAGGTCTTGATGGTGATAGAAATGTCTAGTGGAGGATGAGCCAGCTCCTCATTTCCTACCAGCTACTGGAAATAAGTGAAGCTTTCTCAGCTCTGGCTTTGTGTGGGGAGCGGATGTAAGTGTCAGACTGAGGGCGAGAGTGTAATTACAGGGAATGTATTAGTAATATGTACTTAGAAATCACAGTAAGGCTGAATCACAAGTTACTCAGCACTTTCTCCATTTATAACCTTGAAAACTTGTTATGACTAATTCAACAGGCACTGACCTGGCTCAAGCACAAACACACACAGACACTGCAGGACCAAGTCACCACGTGCCATGACTTGCACCACCTAATTTGACATGCCTGTTACAGATACAGGAGTCTAGATCTTTTCTCTGAATGCTGAGCTCCAGGAAGAGGGGGGAGTTAGTGGTCTTTGGAGATGCTCCAGAAAAACCCACACTGAGGAGAAAGATGGTTTAAGAGGTGCATGCCACAGCTCCCTCGCCCCTGAGCTCAGTGGCTAACCTTTCCCCTTCAAAAGCAGAGCCTTTTTACGCCCTTAATAGCCAGCTGACAGGGGCAGCTATGTTTCTTCATGCAGTAATGCAGTGGCAGGAGTGTTCATCCAGCATGCGGGAGATCAAAATGCAATTTCCCTGTTTGCCTGCAGCAGCCTAGGGTCCTGCCCTCCTTGTGGATGGAGGTAAGATGTATAAGATGAAGCTGGAGCAAATGCCTGTATTCCTCCCTCCTGAGGAGCACAAAGATGTACCAGCTTATTCCTCCTGACCAAGTATTTTCTACTTCTTTTAAGCAAAAGGGGTTGCCCCAGCAAGGGCACAGTGCATGGAAAACTGGTCAGCAGCTTAGTCCCACCTTACGTGCATGGGATGACCATAGGAGAGCCAGCACAGAGCAGCACATCGCTCCCCCCCCCCCCCCCCCCCCCCCCCCCCCCCCCCCCCCGCTTCTCTTGGGCATTAAAAGAGCTATTGCTGGCTTAGTGAGCAGAGTCTTTGAAGAAGGATATTACAGGCCATAAACTAGGAAAATGCTTCAGTGTCAATCTAATTTGTAAGTATGTGGGAAGATATATAAGCTCTAAAATTGCTAAGCTTTTGCTTAAAATAAGTAAGGTTTAATTAGTGTTTATGGGGAAAAAGGAACTTCTTACAGTTTTCTGTATCACAATATTATAAAATATTGTAATTTTCATCTGGTTTAAGCAATTCACTCATATTTAATCAGAAACTAATTCTCTTTTAGTTGGGGGTCTCAGAGAAAACATCAATTTTTAAATTTTACTTTGTATTTACTTAAGAGCTAAAATGCATTTAAATAATCAAGAAAGGAAGTGGAGTCTGATCTTGTTAGAACATATTTCCACTTAGAGCAAACAAACAATATTTTAAAATATTCCACTTGTTTTCCAGTTGGAACTGACCCATCCTATTTTGTGCAATGATTCAGTTATAGCTCAACAAAACATACTGGTAAATTCAGATTTTACTTTTAAATGGAATGGTTTCTGCTTCACTGTACCTTAAATTACTTGCTTTTAAGGTTTTCCCCTTCCCTTTCTTTCGCAATTCTCTTGGAGTTTCTTAAAATACCTATGTAAAATCTTCCCTGCACAAAGAAGAAGAACCCAAAAGAGGTGGTTATATCTTTAAGATCAGGAAATGCGTGCAGTAAGAACATAAGAAGTAATAAAATCAGTGTTGATAGTAAAATAAATATAGCACTTTTGCTTGGGTTAAATGTCAGATGTAAGGAAGTGTTGAGCATCCTAACTTCCTATAGAATCACTCATCCTTCCTCTACTAAGGCTGTTTCCAAAAAGGCTGTTATTAAGTCTGGGAAAGGATGTGGCAACAAAAGATGGTAAAACACTTGAACACATGTGTATTGTAGACCTTTCTACCATGAGCAACATTTGATTCAAAAGAGAGCAAACACAATGTCTGACAAATAAAACGAACACACTGATTTCCATAATTGTAGCAGGGCTTAGGTAATGCACTATGCAGTATTTGATTTAAAATGTTAAAATATTAAAAGAAGTTTTCTATAGCAGAGTGTTCCTATCAAAGTGGAATGACTCATAAGAATGCTAAATTCAAACCAGATGGGCATAAACACTCACTGAAAAAAATCAGATATTTAGAGGTCAGTATGGGTCTTCATAAAAATGAAGACATTGTCTGAGTAACTGAAAAATGAACTTCAGTGATAATAAAAAAAACAAGAGAAAGTATTAGTGATTTTATTTTAATTATACAAGCCACTACCAATTAGAAGAACTAACATTTACAAAACTTTACATTGCCATTTTAATTTGAAAAAGATGGCTGTAGCAGCCTTTAGACTTCAGGCAAACAGCAGCATAGTATCTCCTGTGAAGGAAGGGAGTAAGGGATGGGGGAGTTCAGAAACGCCACGCTAATATTCTGAACAATCCCTGTGCTTCCCACTGAGGAGTAACCCTGATTACGGATTTGTATGGGACAGAAATCTTCTGACCCAGCTCAGAGGCATGATGCCAGTCTTCACTTTCCTGTGAATCAGACCACAAAAAGGGAGAGAAAAACCTCTTGTTCCTGCTATCATATAAAAAAAAGTTAATAACCCCCAAAATTGCTGCTGCTCTGTTGTTAAATGTGTTTGTTGTTTTGTTTTTTCTTTCCTTGTCTCATCCATTGCACTCTACCATTTACAGATTGTCTGGAGGGTGTACTTATTTTAAACTTTTATACCCTACCAGAAGAAAAATATGTGGGCTCAAAATTAATATTGTTTTTGACTTATGGTGAAATTCCAGTAATGTTTAACTTGGATCACTAGACCTGCATATTTTACAGAGAGCAGAAAAGAATTTTTTGAGCCAAAATGTGTAATGGGAGTTCCCTACTGTTTTGTTGCTGACATCTTGGACAACAAGAGAAATGATGAGCATATAACTTATTCCTTTTAAAACATACAGACTAACCAAGTGGAGAAAATAGGGGTTCTACCCATGCCATAAGCTATAAAGGCATATGTTTTTATCCTTCTTCCCTGATTAATTTGTAAACTGCTACCATTCAACCTCCTAATAAAAAATTACTGTCAATGATTTTACATTGCAAACCATAATCTCTTGGGGCACAAGTCAGCAAAAGATACTGTGGCTTCCATCATGCAGAAGCCCACACAATGCCATAGAAAATTATTTTTCTGAGTCCTCCTCCGAGAGGACCATAATTTTATTTCGCAAGAGAAATTGCCTGTACTTTTGGCCTACATGTTACTGCCATTAGGAGCATTCTAAGGCTAAAGGTAAGGGGTGAAACTTGGCCCTAGCAATGTCCCTCAAAGGTTTGCTGGTGGGGTTACAGAAGTGAGCGTTGTCTGCAGTGTGCAGTATGATGCTTTGTAGGGCAGGCTCCAGACCTCTCATTACAATATCCTTAGGGCTGCATGATGCAAATATGAAGCGTCTTCCCTTTGGTGGTTCTTTATGATTGATCCTTTGTCATGCTGTAGCTAAAAACATTTCTTGGCAATCAGACACCTTTACCAGACATTGCTGCACTCATCTAATTAGGGAACTCAGTTTTGAAGTGCTTTGGGTCCCAGCAGATCTCTCCAGATTGTACACGACTGTCACTAGTGGGATAATTGCAGCATTCATTCTTAAAAATGTTTTAAATTGTTTTAGTTTCTAAGACATTGATAATTGCTTGCATTCTCTCACTGCAAAATTAAGGGAGATGATCCTTGTTCATCAACTTCCACCACTACTATTATTTATTTATTTCCTAAGGCTCACTTTATCTTCATGCTGCTTAGAGTTGAACACTATTATCCATTTAGTATTAATATTATTTCTATGGTTTAGAACAATTATTGGCAAATGCTTTGCTAGCCTCCAGTCCAAATTTCCTCTTCACAGCCTCAGGTCCACCAAACCACCACCAGACCACCAAAACCTCTCCCTGCTAAAGGGTATAAACTGTCAAAAAGACAACTAAATTGCCTCCACTCTGAGCAACTGTAGTGGTAAATGAAACCGTAGGAGTCTTTGCACTTCCAAAAAATCAAACAGTGCACTTATAATCACTGTACCCCACTGCTGACATCCAGTCTAGCACAAGGAGTTCACATACACACATAAACACATGTATATGTATACGTGCACATACATATGCACTCTTCTGCAATGAACACTTCTCCTTTGGCATCCTCATGGATGCCTCCTTGAAAGAGCCCAGAGGTTTTTAAAAAAATCCACAGGATAACCCAGGACAGGCATTAACAAAAGTCTCTATATTCCAAATCTCAGATGCCTAAAGTCTCATGTGATGATTTATAAAATTTGGGCTTGCCTCTCTCTGAAGGGTAGGAAGGTAAGAGTTCAAATGCAAGGAAGTAGCTGGGTAGGCAAAGGAGGGACTGAGATGATGGGGCAAGGACCCAGTATGACAGACAGGAAGAAAAGGTAACAACTGTGATGGCTGAGGAGAAACACTGAAAACTTCAGAACAAAGGGAGAATCATGCCTGAGAGAACATCAGAGTGAGTCTGCTCACCAGGTGTGACAGGGAGTTCGCACAGCACAGTGGAAGTTTTCAGCGCATACAGTGACCAACAGCGACGGGAAAGTCCGCTATATCATCAAATCCCAACCCAGCCAGGGGAAGAAGCTGGAAGAGCACTCCCTGGTCACCAGGGACTATTTCCTCCATTTTTGTGTGGAGGGAGAACAGGGGAGTTTCCTGGAGGGCACTGAGACAAGCACTGTGAGCTGCAAGTTCAGGAACATTTTGTAGGATTTGGCATACCTGGGCATTGCCAAGGATATAAAGTAATTGCTGCCCCTAATGAGAAACTGAGCACACAAGGCATCTTCTCTGAGACACCCTATGAGCAAAGCTGATCACAACATTCAAAAGCCTGCTGGTGTGGGAAGAGCATGACAGGGAAGAGCTGTTGAAGCCAGTCTACCACAGCCCACCCTAGCAGGACTATCAGGAGAGGCCAAACACAGGCTCTGACAGACTGAAAAACCAAAGCACACCTTCAAGGAGGTAGACTTCTGTGTCCCCAAAATTATGGGCAGGTCATGCAAGCAGTTGGAAAGACGCGAAACTCATCAGTCAGATATAGCAAAGGACTAATGAGATCACTGCACACCGAGGACCTGCCAGGGGGCTGTCAGGGTGACGTGGGGGCGGGGGGCACTCATCCTTTCTGCTCCCTGAAATGACCCAGCAAAACAAATGCTGATGAAAGATGCAACAACCTGGCAGAAAAAAGAAGGTTGTGGGAGGGAGGAGACATCAGGAAATCAGTCTTGCAGGTCAACTGTGCTGGCAGCATCTTCACAAATATTTTTCTTAATGCACAAACAGTTTAGTTTTATAAGCATGGTTATCTCTCATGTGGTTACTGAGCATGAATCAAAGATGTTGTTGTACTGCCCTATTTTATACTGGCTTTCTTGAACATCCTGGGGTTGCACAGCCCCAGCGAGCACAGCAGAGGTGGAGGACCACTGCTTTCCTTCTGCTCACCAGTGAAGGGGACAAAGGATGGGCAGCCTTGGGTCAGAGAAATCCCAGAGAAAGGGGGATTTGAGGAGGAGTGTGAGGCCAAGCCACCAAGTTGGGGATGCTGGTAGGGGAAATGGGTGGAAAAAGGTGCTGGGCTGCACTAAGCTGTGGTAACTTGGGTGCAGCACAGGGAACTGCTGCTGTTCCATCACTCTGCTCATGCAGCAAGTCCTCCATAGGTACAGCCCTCCCGTTTCACACCAGTTGACCTCTCATTTCTCTTTACCATCGTACTCATGTTCCCAAATCTCAGGAGCATCACTGCAAAAGGGAAGGTAGGCAGATGTGAAAAGCCAACAAGAGCAGAGTATTCTCAAACAGTAGGGACAAAGCCTGAGCAAAGAGTGTCAGCTCTAGGACAAGCTGAGAAGAGAGAACATCTCCTCCATCTGAAATTGAAGGAAAAATAATGAGAGCAGGCCATTCATCTTTCTTAAGTATCTGTCTGGTTTTGCTTTCTAGTTTTTCTGCCACAATTTTTGAGCTAAACCTAACAGGATAATAATCCAAACAAAACAAGCAAACCAAACTCAACAGCCCTATGGGATTACTGGGATGGGTGAAGGGGAGAGGCAGGTTTGTGAGAAGGGAAGAGTGAGACTGCAAGTGCAGTGCTCTTATCTATGTTTGGTTTTGTTAAATGTTTTTTCTTTCTTTCCCTTTTTTTTTTTTTTTTTTTTTTTTTTTTTTTTTTTTTTTTTTTTTTTTTTTTTTTTTTTTTTTTTTTTTTTTTTTTTTTTTTTTTTTTTTTTTTTTTTTTTTTTTTTTTTTTTTTTTTTTTTTTTTTTTTTTTTTGGTGAGGGTAGCAAGTAGGATAAACTGTTTTGAGCAGGGGCTATGCCTAAGCTTATTTCTCAGTTCTGGCTGATCAAATGCATCCAACCAACAACTCTGGTTGCCCAGTTACTCCAACCAGTGTGCCACTTGCTGTAACCACCTCAGGGCATGGTTATGGAGACTTCAGGACCCCCATGGTAGGAAGTGCTCCCCCTTGTCCCAGGACAGCTATCCTCTGAGATGTATAGCTGTATGCTGTGCTCATGCATGACCAGGTGGAATAGCAGGCAGAGCTGGATCCTCAGGAGGATGCTGTCCCATTCCCTGGGAGGCAGTGAAGAAACACCTCCTCTGGGTCCAGCTATGTGGTGGTAAAGACAGTCACCCCTTACTGCCTCCTGCTGCTTGTCCTGATCCCTCTCTCCCTCTGTGCTCTGGGCCTGCAGCAGAGCCTCTCATGCAAGAGCCAATTCCATTAGCAGACACCCATGGTTCTGCTGTGGCACCATGGTCTTCCCCAAAGCCAAGGTGAAGAGGGATGTCCTCTCTGGAGAGCTCCAGGTAATACAGCCTCCTTCATGGTGAAACCCTGGCCCCGTTGAAGCTAGTGGTAGGACTGCACTGGATGTCATTCAGACCAAGGTTTCAGCCTAGCAGCTGAATATCAACACATTTTGTAAAAACTGACTTGGATAAGGTTCAATAAATGTCTTTGAGTGATTTCAGATTGTTTTTCCTCCATTTTAGGAAAGCAATTTTTCTCTGAAAAATGCCTGCACAAGTTTCACACCTTTTTTTTTTTTTCTCCGCATCATCTGCTGTTATTCATAGACTCTACAGATGGAAAAGACCCATTAAGTCACCCAGCACTCCCTGCCAGCACAGGACTGTTCTCCAGCAAACATTTGTTATAGTTTTGTTTATACTAGTTTCACATGCTCCAAACAATGACATTGCTGCCACTTCCCCAGGGAGAGCAGTCAGCAAGTTCGTATTGCTGACCTGCAGGAAGGCTTCTCATATTCTTCAGCCTGTATCTTCTGTCTTCATATGTGTGTTTCAGTTTTATAACCTAATATCAATTTATCATGGGGTCTTCCCCTTGATTTTGTCTATCATTCTAGTCCCCCTTGCTCTATGGTGCACAGAACTTTTAAAATTGTGCATGATCCCAGTATGGCCCCTAAACCACCCACTATGATGTACCCCTCCAGTACGTTAATGAGCATCCATTTCTCCTGAGCTGTTCCTGCTCTGGTGCTTTCTCCAGTTTGCACTATACTGTTCCAGTTTGAGATAATTTGGTGGAGCGGAGACCTCAGGCAGAAGTCTCCTCCCTCAGATTCAATACCTCTGATTTCTCCAATAGAGAGAGAGACCAAATACACCTAGGTGTAAGTGAAAAAATAACTTTTTACCAAGAAGAATGCCAATAACAATACTGATAAACCTGGGTTAAACCAACTGATGAGGACAAACTTCCCAAGCCCCACCCACGGGACAAAATCGAGATGGCAGCTGGCCTCCCTGACCTGGAAAAAACGCACATGGCCACAGGACAAAGACAACATGGGCACCCTTCCATTTCGTTCCCCTCCCCCATGTCTGGAAAACAGCTCAGGAATGGGGTGGAGAGTCAGCGCTGGCAGGAAACACCCATTAGCTGGCATTCAGTACTGGCAGATGCTGGAGTGAGGCTGTGATGCTGGTACAGGCAGCAAGAGCAGGGCTGCGGACCCCCCAGGTGACTGGAAGGACCTGCAAGACACCCGCTGGATCCAGCAATGAGACTTGGTTGTTGCAATTTCGATGTTCCTTGGCCAAAGTGGTGGTTGTAGTCTGTTGAAGTGGTGGTCACAGTCCAGATCTCTTGAGGTGGTGGTGGGAGAAGCCCAAAAACTTAGTTATATATTCTCAGGTTCAGGTGGGAACACCTCCAGTATCTCCAGTTTTACACTGAATGATGTAAGATTGTGAGTCACAGGATACTTCGGGAGACTTTGACACCTTCTAAGATATTGCAGCTGCCCCTTATGTCTGTGCAGCTGAGTCCATTATGGCCCATTATGGCTCAACAACAAGAGATGAAAACCTTCAGGCTGAGTGTGAATGTTCCAGGGGAGTTATCACAGCTGAGTCATCTGTGTAAGGAAAAAGAAATACTACCTCACCTCCCAAGGTTTGTCTCTCTCCTTATCCTGTTTTAACACCCATCTTGTGGTCTGAGGTGTCAGATGTGCACACCTTCAGCCCCTGGCCTGGGTGGCCACTCAGCACATTGTTAGCAAAGCACACTGCTGATTGAGCCATGAGCAGGAATAGTCCAGTCTCTTAAAGCACCTGGGCAGTCACTGCAGGTGGTCGAATTTTTGAGCCGTTAATCGCTAGCAGTTTAGTCTCTTTAAAGAAGGTAAAACACCAAAAAACCAAAAAGGCATATTTGGAGAAAAAAGGTGGATACCAGAATTTTTGTGTAACCCAGGACAGATACTTTCTGTCAATCCCTAGCCTGCAGTACAAAAGTGACATAGCAGTTCAATCATACAAGGAAGAATTACTTTCTGCACTCGTCTGTGTCCTGCCTCTCGGAACACAAGTCCAAATTGCAAAGGGAGCTTTGTCAGCAGAAGGCACAAGAGATTCACATCTTATTTACTTCCAGCTACCTCCACAAAACGTCCCATAGACTTTCTAGGGGCTTTCTAACTCACTGGAGCTTATAACTTTTACATTTTAAAAATAGAAAGCAGGTTGCCTTGTAATTGTTTTCTCTGTTCTTTGTAATAAACAGTGAACTGGGAAGCAAATGTGCCTTATACAGATAAAACATATGGTATGATATACATTGATACATAACCACAGGCATAACAGAGTAAGTTCCTCTTTGGAAGACTATTTGGGATTTGTCGACAGTAAACAAATCAGATTGTATTAATAAAGTAATTCTAAGTCTCAAATTACAGAAGTTAGCCTTCTTCATTGATGTTACAGAAAGCAGCATCAGCTGTTGCAAAAGAAAATGTAGAGGTAAGTGTCAAGTATTAAGCATTCCTCCATCAAACTAAAATAGAAGTGCAAAGTCAGTGCTCCATAACAGATTCTTTTGCATGAAACATATTGCATATGTTCATACAAAAAAAAAAAAAAAAACCAGAAGAAAAACATAAATTGTTTTCTTTCTGTTTCAAAGCAAAGTCTGTGGAGCCCCCCAGTTTGCTAGTACCACTTATAAAAGAAAGTAACACAGTGCCATAAGCAGCAAATTGAAAATACAGGGAAATCAAGACAAAAGCTAGCCCAATAACCACAAATTAAAGGGCTCATCTTGTCAATTGAGTAGAAACATGAGGAATATGAATACCAGTTTCTTCCCTAAACCCTGAATCCTGATGGCTCCATCATGCTTTAATTTTCTACCCCTACATATGTCCTGTTCTGCAAACTTCCCACATACTTTCACTCAATTTCAAAGTGGAGTCCTTCTCTGAAATGGCACTGTAAACATTGCATTGTGGGGTCCCATGTTTGACGTCTGTCTGTGATTTTCAAATCAAAACTGCTCAGCTAACAAGTAAAAACCAGATTTCTTTTTGTTTATTTCTCAGCATTGTAGTCTATGGTATGAAAAGCAAATTTGGTGCTTTCCAATTCATGTATTAACAACATGAAAAAACAGCATTTGGGGGAGAACACACCAATGGAGGAAGAGCTGGATTAGGATAGAGCTGGTTTGTCCTCCTGCTGCAGAATTGCTATGGTTGAGAAGGCTAAAATGCTGCCAGGGCAACCTCAGACAGTTGTTTGCAGTCCTCTTCATTGAGTTCATCTATGGTGTTTTGCTGGCAAAGCGATGGTTTCAGCCCTTGCTAATCCACTTTCCTGCAAAATCTACCAGGTTAGTGTAGATGGTTTAAATTGAATTAGCCCTGCTGCTGTTGTCTAAAGTAGATTAGGAACTGAGAGATCCAGAAATCATCCCTGCAGTCTTAGCCCTTGGCATGCCAGAATACAATACCCAGCCAGATGGCCCATCTCTACTTGTCTCTTTTTCTCTATATCATCACTGTTCTCTAACTGCCATTTCCAAAGCTTTAGTGACTATTCCAGGCTTCAGTGACCAGAAGAGATTTGCTGAAGAATCAGGATACCAATTCTTGGAGGAAGAAGTGGCCATCTAGTTAAGAGCTGCAGAAGACCTCTATGCAAATTAGTGACATTTTCCATCATAAAAATACCATTCTCTAGGCTGGCCAGGTCAAATACAGATAATTTGCATTTTCACTTCTCTTCAAGGCGAATAATTATTCTGAATGGAGAGAGGAAAGAGAGAAGATAATTCACAATGTGGAGAAAATGGGAGTTATTAGTACAGAAAGAAGGGGTTCAGAGAGCCCTTCTGCAAAAGCTTCTTATTGGATTTTTGCTAAAGTTGTTTGCCAGGCAGAAAGACTCAGTCCCAGCTCAGCCACTAAAGCATTTGCTCCTGTGATCTCAGTTTAAACACATACTTGTCTCACCAAATGAAGTCCCAAACCTGCAAGTACTAGTTACTATAGAAAATAAAGTGCATTCCCAAACATTATAGGGTCAGGACTTGGCCTTGTGATGAGGTACTTTGCTGAACTAGGCAATAATAGCACTGCAATTAATAGCACTGCAATTAATAGCATCTAATAATGAGACATTTTGTAATGTGATGCAGATATTAAAGATGAGATGGGAACAGAAAAACTTACCTAATAAGGAGTTTTCCTACTAGTATTCAGGTAGATGCTTCCACCTAGTGACTTACAGCAGTAGTTTAGAGATTTTTACTTTAGAAAGCTGGATGGCAGCTGCAGCAGAAAATGAAATTATAGAAAAACATCATTCATCATCTGTAGTCAAGAAGAGACACAGAAACTTACCTTCCAAAAGGAGTCTATACATTCAGGCATCAGCAATACTCAGAGTACCCCTTCCACAGACAATGCTGGCCCAGTGCATGCACTCTGATTCACCTCTGGATAAACAGCCACCCTACTGTATCTGGCTCTGCTACTGATAATCCTGGCCCTTCCAAGGCAACATATGGCAGAGCAGGAAGGATAACTCCTGGTGAGAGGAGGTGTTTCTGACATCCTAGCAGTAGGGAGGTCACCAGAATGGTGACTGCATCAAAGATATTGCCAAACTTTTCCTTCAGTTTAAAAATGCAAGAGCTGTAGCTTTGCGTTCCTTAGTAGTGCAAATGCACATGTGCTTGGTCTGGCCTCCAGTACATTTTAGCAGCAGCCTCAGAGCCCAATACTGTCATCCTCCTCTAAGCTATATTCTTCCTCTCAAACTCCTGAGACTTTATACATACCTCCATGTGCAAAAGTTACCGACTTGAGCCCTCACAGCAACACTTAACAAATGACGTAAACTCCACAAAAAAGAGAAGGGCTCAATGTTAAGCTTCAAGATCACAGATTGAGTCAAGATCCATATGCTTGGATGCCTAATGATTCTTTACAATAAATGGGAAGCAATAAGTGGCTCCGCAAAAGACTTGAGAGTGTTGAATGGGTAGCTGTCTAAAATCAATCTCATCCACTTCAAAGATGTATTTTGAATCTTGTCCCTTTCTGGAAGTGCCACAGCCAGACATAAAGAAGAGAAGAAGCCCCACTAATGCAACAGTTTCAAGGTTGACGCAAGGCACAAATTCTACTTGCAAGTAGTCAAGCCCTGCCATTCTGTCACCCTGTGGCTTCAGCTACAGGTTGTGGGTTTATTGGTTGGGAAGGGAGTGTGGAAAGCAAAGAGGAAACTTTGGGAGAAAGACATCGGGTATCCCTATGCTAAAGGTCTAATCTAAGTAATTTACCCAAAGCTTTCACTGTAGTGCGTGGACAGAAGCAGGTAGAGGAGAACAGATTAGTATATGCAGGAGTAGTCAACAAAAAATAAGACTGATGGAAAATGTAGCTAAGGGTAACCAGCTATGATTAAAGTCTCTAACATAAACAACCTAACGCTGAAGTAAATGAATGCTGCTCTTATTTCCCAGCTGTGCTCAGGGATGTGCTATCAATCTGCAACAGTCTTGGAGATGAGCAGAGACATTATTATAGGCACTAAGTGAACACAAGAATCCAACAGAGAAGAGCAGAGGAAGTTTTGGAGTCAGTTAGTGGGCCTTTTTGCTTCACAGTTTTAAAGTTAGGACTCCCGATTCTGTACATTTCCTCCTCTGTGTTCCTGGTTTCCATCAAACCTCACTTTTCTTTGTCTCTGGCTTTACTCCCTATGGTCATTAAGGACTGCCCTGTAAGGCAGTAAGCTATCTACCATGAGCAGTTAAGTACCAACCTTTTCTTGAATCCATTGTTTACCCTTTTGAAGCCAATATCTGTGTGTTTTGCTGACCTGGGGACTTGAGCCAGCAAATATATAGCATTGACAGTAGAACTCAATGACCTCAGCTTCCCTGGGCAAGAAATCAAGAGACAGTGGAAAGAAAAAACACTTGAACATTGTTAAAAAAATAAAATAATTAAAGCTCAAAATTAGTGGTGTGCCCAAAAGCTTTTAAGAGAGATTTACTCAATTTGGCAGATGCTGTGTAATCTGTACATAGCTTCACTTCTTATGAAATCATGTAACCAAGTTAATTCCCTTGTTAAAAGACTTCCTGCATTCACATCATCTTAATGTGTTCCTATTTTCTTCTTGTATAGCTGTGGTCATTGCAATATTAATGGTTTTGTTAGCATGTACTCTCTCATTTATTCTTTACTGAACTGACATATATACTTTAACCTTTCTCTAGTTAATGAACTTCAGCTAAGACATGGCTCTAGATCTAGTTGAGGTCAGAAAGGAGTAAAAGCACATTATCATCTGGCAACTTCTAACTATTTCATGTAAAGAAACTGTACTCCAATAATAGTGTCAAGGCATCTCAAAATCTAAAAAAACCCAAACACATTATCACGAAGCACAGAGAACTTGTCAAAATGGTATATCATTAAAACTCTGGCTGATAATTTTAATTACAGCAGGGAAACAACCTTTTTCTATCAATCCTGTAGGTGAACAAGAGCTTTGGTC